TGTTTATTTCTAAGCCCATGAATAAAGATTACAAAAAAAGTGTTGAAAAGAAACTAAGCCTAAATGATAACAAAACCTGTGTAGATTGTAATACTCGAAACCCACGATGGGTATCGTTGAGGTACGGAATATTCCTCTGTCTTGATTGTGCCGGTCTCCATCGATCACTTGGAGTATATTTGGACTTTATTAAGAGTGCTACATTGGATATATGGGATGAAGAAGCATTCCTACCAATTAAATATGGTGGAAATGGTAAGTTTCGGGAGTACTTACAACTACACGAAGTAGCTGAGGAGGATATTCCCTCTAAATATATGATGCCTATTGTGATAGGGTATTCCAAACAATTGATGAATGAGATTAAAGAAAAAACAGGAAGCGAATTGAAGTATGCACAGCTATCAGGAAATGGTTGTTCATTCAGTAGCAGCTCTAAAGATACTTTACTTTGTAATTCTTCATTAACCGAAAATGTCTCGATTCCAAATAAACAACAATATAATAATTCATTCTTAGGATCAAAGATGCCTGGCAAAACTGTAAATAGGAATCCTCATTCGTCAGTAAACAATTCACAAGCATCCAGTAAATTTTCAACTAACGGCTCAATAGTATCAAATATAAAAAATTCCATTTCAGAGTATTCTCCGAAGATTGCAAGTATTTCAAGTACAACTATCAGCCATCTCAGTGAGCTAACAAATTCATTATCCACACGTGCAAAGGTTTTTGGAAGTAAAACTATGGAAATGTCCTCTAAATTTGGCGGAAAGATGCTAGAAGAGGCAAGGAATATGGTTTCTGGGCATTCTAATGCCACTACTAAAAAGTCGATAGTGAAAAAGGACGTTCCAAAGCAACTTCAAAAAGTAAAAAAAGATGCTGGAGACTGGAGTTGATCCAAAGATTTGATAAATAATTAACGTTAGAATCTTTCATCCAATGATTGGTCGATTGTATAGTATTATGGCTAACTTTCACGTGTATTGAATAAAAGATTTACAAATACATTCTGTCATCTTAAAATAATTTATTCTGCAAAACACAAGCGATTCCTTGGCCATTCACAATCTTTTGTTTCAGTTCATTATGAGATGTCTCTTTGAATTTCTCTGAGTTTCTCTTTTACTTCTGCCAAATCAAAATCTCCATTCAGCATATCTTTCAGTGCCTTAATAGACATTCTTGTTTTGCTAGGCAGATTCCCTAAACTTAATAAATTTTCAATCTCTTTCCAGTATTTTATTTTAAATTCAGAGCGCTCCCTTCGAATGCCATCTTCCTTCGCATTTTCTACTGCTTCATCTACCATTTTTTGCACTTGTTCCTCTGTTAAGCCAGTGGATGGCTTAATTTGAACAGTGCTAGTATTTCCACTGTTTTCAGCATAGACATTCAGAATTCCATTTGCATCAGTTTCGAATGTGACAGTGATTTTTGCTTCGCCTCTTTTGGCAGGAGGGATATTTTTTAGCTTCAGAGTTCCAAGTAATTGATTATCCGAAACCATGGCTCTCTCTCCCTGGTAAATTCGGATATCGACTTCTTCCTGATAATCTTCAGAGGTGGAAAACACCTCATTCTGCTTGAATGGAATGGTGCTATTCCGGTGGATAATCTTATTAAATACTCCACCCAATGTCTCTATTCCTAGGCTTAGTGGGATCACATCCAATAATAAAACATTATCAACTGTTCCAGCCAGTACTCCAGCTTGTATAGCTGCTCCTTTTGCTACAGCTTCATCAGGATTGATTTTTAAAGAATCATGAATAATAGGATGCCGTAACATGGAGGAATTTATCAACTGGCTACTTGGGTCGTTTTCATATTTAAATATTTCTTTAACCAATTCCTTTATACATGGCATTCTTGTCATTCCTCCAACAAGCACGATTTGCTTAATATCACTTTTACTAATGCCAGCATCCTTTATAGCCTGGATACATGGGCCAACCGTTTTCATAGCTATTCGTTTTATAACACCTTCTAACTGTTGACGGGTAACCTTTATATCAAAATCAACTCCTGAAATGATATTTTCAATAAAAACGTTTGTAGATGCTCTAGTAGACAATTCCATTTTAGCCATCTCAGCAGCCTGTTTTAATCGTTCCAAGGGGGAACCTAGGCCATTGGAATGTAACTCCATATTATCACTCAATTTTACTCCCTCTTGTTGCTCAAACATAGTCAATAGGAATTTAACAAACTCATTGTCAAAATCCTCTCCTCCCAAAAATGTATTTCCATTTGTAGATTTTACATGAAAGATACCATCACTCAATTCTAAAATTGAAATATCGAAAGTACCCCCACCTAAATCGTAAACAGCTATATGACCATTTCTACTATTAACTGCAGAGTGATCAGCATAGTCAGTAGTGGACAATCCATCTGAATTTTTAACTTCTGGCATATTTGTGGTAGTTGATAGGTTATCCATAGCATTATTACCAATCCCATATGCCAAGGCTGCAGCTGTTGGCTCATTAATCACACGAATAATATCCAATCCAGCAATTCTACCAGCATCCTTCGTTGCTTGCCTTTGGCTATCATTGAAATATGCAGGAACCGTAACAACAGCTCTCTTTACATCCACTCCCAGGGCTTTACTGGAATAATATTTGATTTTTGATAGAATTTTAGCAGCAATTTGGGTTGGGGAAAGCTTACCAAAATCAGTTTTGATCCAAATATCGCCATTACAGACTTTAATGGTATTATATGGGAGATTTCTTAGGTATTCAGGAATAGAAAGATTCGATGTATCATCATCCTTGCTATTTATGTTTGTAGGATTTCCATTGTTTTGATCAGTAGTAATCTTTTTCATTCCTACACCAAATACAGGATCAAAGTATTTTCTGCCTATTAATCTTTTGCTTGCAAATATTGTGTTTTTAGGATCACTCAAAAGATATTTTCTAGCCTCATTTCCAACAGTTTCTTGATTTTCCCCAAAATGTACAATTGATGGAGTAGTGGATTCATTAAAATCATTTTTGATAATTGTTGGAATCCCATTTTTCATTATTGCAGCTACAGAATTTGTAGTTCCCAGATCAATTCCAATTACATTAGTGTCCATAATTCTTTTTTTATATTGCATACAGGGGTGGCAATTTGTCACAATTGAAATGTAAATGTATTTTGCCCAGAGGAATTTGATGGTATATGTTCAATGTTTTACTAATGTGTTGTGACAGCACAAGGGGGTATAGTTCAGTGGTAGAGCGTCTGCTTTGCATGCAGGATGTCGTGGGTTCGAATCCTGCTACCTCCATTTTTAATAAAAATTAGAAGTGGTTTCGAAATATATTTTATTCACAAAGCATACAATTATAAGTTCGACCTTTTGATCGATAGCATAAATTAACTCTTGGATAATCGTCGCTATACAAACTGCATGCCTATATAGCTTGCTTCTAATTTTTTATTTTCAATCTCGTTTTTAACTCCTCTAATGGGAATTAATGGCCTACTTCCTTTTATAAAACCAATTATGAAAAAAGTACCGATCAGTAAGTTTAAAAACAGCAGGATAGCTATCGATGGGCATTCTTGGATTCATCAAGTCCTTCCCTCAATCAGCTATGAATTATTCCACAATAAAACCACTGATCGGCACATCAAACTGTTTTTAGAAAAGATAATTCAACTGCAAAGATATAATATTACTCCTATTTTTGTTTTTGATGGAGACTTTTTAGAATCAAAAGCAGAGACGATCCAACAGCGTAGAGATATTAAGGAGGGGTATAGACAGGAGATCACCAAATGTATCAAAAAAGGTGATAATGTAAGAGCAAGGGAATTAATGAAAAGGGTTGTTGATGTGAAACCTGAAATTATTTACTCTATTCTAATTGCTCTCCAATTACACAGAATAGAATACATTATTAGTCCCTATGAAGCAGATGCTCAGCTGTGCTATTTACAAAAAATTGGATATGTGGACTATATTGTTACAGAGGATTCTGATCTCATTATATTCGGTGGAAATCACATTCTATACAAGTACAATGGATCTACGGTTGAGGAGTATGAGCGAGTCAATTTGCCGAGACTTAAAGGTGACTTCTTCGCAGAAAATATTCTGGAAATTGCTATTCTCAGCGGATGTGATTATGTGAATTCAATTAAAGGTGTAGGATTGGCCACGGCATTTAAGAAATTACAAGAAAACAAAACAATCAAAAGCTTTGTTGAATATTACCGAGAGTTGAGAAAACCAGTTCCCAAATCTTATCTGGAAGATGTTGCGAAGGCAAAAATAGCCTTTTTATTCCATATTATATACGATCCCATTGAAAGAACCAGAAAATATCTGAATTCCTCAGAAGAGCATTTTGAATTTCTCGGAACTCTGGAAAATTTGAGATATATAATCAATGAAATCACTAAAGTCGATAGGCATTTTGTTCCGCGATTTGACGATATCCAAACAACAAAGATAGATGATAGACCTATTGAGGATTATTCCAAGATAAACAATGGTCTTGAAGAGAACAGCTCCATAGAATTTGATATGTTAACTTCTGTAATAGACCCCACTAATCAATAAAATTACCTCTTAAACTAACTGCTGGTTCATGATGCGAGTATTAATAGCTATATAGTTATTAGTATAAACTTACATATGTTGTTTTGAAACCCTGTAATTTTCCAAATTTATTTTGGCACTTTCACTTCTTGGAATTATTTATTGTTACCCTTCATGGATGCTTCAGAATTCTTTAGATATCCTACAGATGCAAGTCTGCCAGACAATTCAGAAACAATTCATATTTCAGCTTTGGCTTTACTCAAGATGATGAAGCATGGCAGAGCAGGAATTCCACTCGAGGTGATGGGGCTTATGCTGGGAGAATTTGTCGATGAATACAATGTCAAAGTAATAGATGTGTTTTCAATGCCTCAGAGTGGAACGGGGGTAACAGTAGAGGCAGTGGATCCTGTATTCCAAACTAAGATGATGGAAATCCTAAAGGCTACCGGTAGATCAGAAACAGTAGTAGGATGGTATCACTCTCATCCAGGATTTGGCTGCTGGCTGAGTTCTACGGATGTTTCCACACAATCAGTTTTCGAACAAATTTGTAAGAGAGCAGTTGCGGTTGTCGTAGATCCAATTCAGAGTGTGAAAGGAAAAGTTGTTATTGATGCATTCAGAAACATTCCACAAATGACTTTAGATGAGCCTAGAATTACTACAAGCAATATTGGATTCCTAAAGAAACCATCATTTGTTTCTTTGGTTCATGGCTTGAATAAAAGCTATTACTCATTTGAAATATCATTTAAGAAAGATAGGCTGGATGAGAGAATGCTTCTAAATCTTAACAAAAAGACGTGGGCAGACAATCTAAAAATTGAAAAAACTCCAAGAGAGGATATTTCGGATCTTTTGGAGTCCTATTGTAATGCTGAAGAAACCTCTCTAAAAATGACAAAAGAGGAATTAGAAGTGAGTAAAATCGGAAAGAAAAATCATAGAAAGCATCTTATTGAGAAGTGTGGGGAGATCATTGAAGACGAAACCTTAGCCAATATACTTGTATGTATCCACAATTATATCTTTAGATAAATAATATTGAAAACTTTTAACCTACCAATTTATTAAAAACTTTAATATACCATACCAGTCCAATTAATTTCTTAAATCATCATAAATTGTTTGCAAGCAACCATACTTGTCTTTCAGCTTTGTGGAAATCACTCTCAACCGATTAAATATTGATGTGGGCTCCGCACCCTGGATAAGCCGACCGATGGCATCCTTCGCAATATTTGTATTTTCCAAGCACCCCAACAGTATAATTTTGTGATCGATTAAAATAAATTTACACTTAGCAAAGTTTTCTATAGCATCTTTGGTTCGTCCTCCTCTTCCTATAATACGACCAATAGCTCTTGAAAGATGATTACTCTTCATCTTCCTAACCTCATTTATATCAAATGATTCTACAAAAACATCTTTGTATTTCATAATCGTAATAGCATCATCGACTTTAAACCCTTCAATCACAGCTTGTATAAAACAAATGCTCCTCTCCAAATATGCAGGATCTTGTGTTAGTTCACACGTTCTCAAATCAATTGTCTTGGTTTTTGGAAAATACCGAATTTGCAACCGGCCATATTCCACAATAGCGGTGTATATCTTAAGCCACTCTGACTTCATGACTCTTATCTTATGTACTGGAACCATTACAGATCGGATTTGTTGATTTGATTGAGTCTCCATTGGGATAGAAAAAATTAAAAAATTTATTGAAATTAATTAAGTTCACTCAAAAGAAAATAACAAACATAATCAAAGGACTTCATACAAATATATCTCTAACCAACCAAAGTAAAACTCTTTATAAAGAAATACAAATTCGAGTACAAAACCATACTGGAAGAAAATTCAAAACATACTTAGTATAATAAATAACTCCAGATTAGGGTCCTATTATTACTCAGAAAACTGATATAACGAACAAACAAAACAAAAAACTCAGATAAAATAGTTGTTCTAAAATTGTAGAATCAGAATAGTTTCTTCATCATACCTCAGCCAGGGATAACAAATTCATCATCTTCTACGAGGGCACATTTAAAAAGTTGTTTTTATAGTAAAATTTTTCAAAAATTTTCTTGAAGTAGGAAACTATTGGATGGATAAAACATTTCGTTTTGGTGATCTATCACATCTTATGAAACTGCAGAATTATAACTCAGTTCTTTTTTGTTTCGATTAAATAAACCTTACATCACAAAAATATTCTGGGGAAAAGTGTATGCTTCTTTTTTGAACTATTTACTCATAGAATTATACATCCTTTTTGGAATTCCCTTAATTTGAAACTGGGCACCTATCAGAATATGATCGGATGGAAAATGAATATTGGGTAAACCAACTGTACGCTCCATGTATTCCTCTTCCACAGAGGATATTACACTTGATCTGACAAGTCCTTCTGTGTGAAATATGTAATCTAAAACACCTCTGAAATGTGGAGTAAAGTTAGTAAATGCCAGGTCCTGATTCTCATAAGCATCTAAGAATTTCATTGAATGGCGGAATCCATCGTTAAATGGGGCATAGTCGTACTTATCAAAATCTAAACCCCCTATCTTTCTCTCTACCATTAATTTATATACACTAGAATCGGGAAGGCTGTTAAAATCTCCCATCAATAAAATCGAAGCATTCTTATGCTTTATTCTAATTTTTTCTAGTTCTTCGAGCAACAAAATTGACTGGAACAGCTTAATATCTGTATATTGTGGATCCCAAAATAAATGGGTATTGGCAACAATTATTGTATGTCCCAACCCCTTCTCTAAAACTGTAACTAGCACCACGTTGTCTTTTTTACCGTATCTCAACAGTATATCCTGGTTTAACTTAAATCGTGTATCTGATGATATTTTTGTATAGAAGTCTATCTTAACCTCATCAATAACTTTAAATTTAGATTTCTTCCAAAAAGTTGCACATCCATCAACTGTCCTGGATTCTCCCTGAAAGGATACTCTATTTTTCGGTAAAAACGAACTGTCATAGTCTAACTTTAATGAAAGCTGATCTCTATAGTAATCATAATATGAAAATGTTTCAATTTCCTGTAGACACAAGATATCTAGATTGTAGGAGATTATATTTTGTATAAGGATGTCTTTCCTATAATCCGGATTTATTATCCATGCAGGTGCATATGTTAGCTTAGAGGCAAAAAAATTGCAGAGAATATTATAGGTCCCCACAGAAATCGTTTCGAAAGAATTTTCTGGTCTGTAAACTACCTCCAGCCACGATCGATCACACGGTGGTAAATAATTTATATTATGCTCTCTGCAAAAGCGAATTACAGAACGGTCTTTGCTTAGCGAATTAAAAGGAGGCACTAAAGGATTATTTGATAAATTAAAAATCTCCAAGTTATATAGGCTTCCCATCTCCCATGGAATTTCTGATATGAAATTATCGTTTAAATACAGCTCCTTCAAATTGACTAATCTGCCCAATTCTGGAGGAATATGCTTGATCTTGTTGTAGCTAAAATTTAATTTTTCCAGTGTTTTAAATCTACAGATTCCCTCTGGAATACTCCTCAAGTCATTATTATGGAGCAGCAGTTCTTTTAAATTGTTTATTAGAAATAATGAATTGCTAATGAATTTTAAACCCTGGAATGACATGTCTAATCCTGTTATCGTGTCCAAAGGTAAAGATGCTTCGTCATTTGGTTTAGATTTTCTACAATTTGTAATCTCTTCCATGGGATTGTAAAAATGTTCATTTTTGTCTTCTTGTTATTCGTAAATAATTGGCGGGAAAAAATATTGAGAACATCCAATATCTGGTTATAATGCATTAGGGCATATATTCATTCAAAAAAATATTAAAAATGTTGTTATCATAAATTGAATAATCAATAAAAATGTATTTTATTCGATCTAATACAAAAATAGGCTAGCTATACAACATACCCCTATAGTAAACGCAAATCCGGCCATTAGATTTCCCCTTGTAGACTTCTTCCCTTCACTATAATAGAAATAATAGGCTGGAATAATAAAGCACATTATTGCAGAGAAACTATTCGCCACAAACTTCACTGCAGACTTAAATGTAAAAGAGCCCATGACAACTGCAAAATAAATTGTGAATAGAAGGACAAACCCCGTTGATACTGAATGAGACTCTTCATCAATATTGAAAAATTTGATAATATGGTTTTTTGTAGGATGAAGCTGCAATGGAATACTGACAGATATAATAAGAGAGTAAATAAGCACTGCAAACTTCTTAATCAGTGAATCTTCCCAATCCTTTAGGATACAATCCGAAAAAATATCAATTCTTGAATAATTGATTATTCCAAATGATAAATATAGCGCTGCAGACGTTAAATATACGAATAAAATGGTTAAAATCAACTGTCTTTTCTGTAAAAATGTATCATTCTGAACTGAAAAAATGTTTTGGTGGCATGTAAATCCAAAAACAAAATATCCTATGCTGGGGAATGGGTTAGAACTATTGTTGTTAAATGTAGTTGTGTTTTCACTCCTTACCAAGGAATTCTGAGATTTCCCCTTCACAAAAAATGATGCTCCCATTAGAATCAAAACACCTAAAACCCCCACAAAGGAAGATATTTTCAAGCGATCGATTTTCTTTGAACAGACAAGCGGCAAAATAGCCAAGCAAATAAGTGTAATAATTGTATTAGAAATAGATCTTGTTGAATATGAGAATAGTTTCGAATCGAAGAAAGAATCTCTTCCATCCCTTACTAACTCTTCTACATTATCCCTAATTAATAATAGATATGCTAATGTAACAAAAGAGCATTTCGAAATCAAAATGAAATCCACAAAGGACTTTACCCTTGGAGAAATGCGTAGGGCAAGAGAAGCCATGCTATTGGATGTGCCATACTTGGCATTCAACAAAATATATATCAAGCAACCGAAAAAAGATGCTGATCCAAAAAATAGAGTGAATATCACAGTGTTTATTGTCCCATGACATTTAAACAGATAAGGATATGCCAAAATGCCACCTCCAACACACGCTTTAAGCATATTTATATAAACTGAGAAAACTCCCCCCTTGAAGATCATTTGGGGGAAAAATACTGAAATTTTGAAAAAGTAAACTAAAGAGGATCAAAATTTAATAAACCATTAAATATATTAACACCATACAGATACTGGGTAAACTATGTAAATTTATTAAATTCCCATCGTCAGTTGAGCCTTTGCGGGAGAACTCTTCAAAAACTCTGCAATTTTTGTAATACTTTCATCATGAACATTCAAATCAAACTGTCTTTGATAAACTCTGAGCTTTACTCTACTAAATGTTGCAGTACCATTACCACAGGGAGATTTTCTAGTTGTAAAGACTGCCTCTAAAGTTGGAACTACAGTTGGAAGTTCTGCATTGTCAACCAAGTCTAAAATAAAATCATAGAACTCCTTGGCTGCCGAATTAATTGTCTGTTTATCATTGCTAGATAGTGATATGGACAGTTTTCTTACCTCACCGATGTATTCGTTGGCGACCTCATCTTTCTTTTCATTAAATTCAACCATAGACATTATTAGGGCACAAAATTTTTCAAAAAATTCTATGGAGATTTATATAAAGTATAGATAAAATGGAAACATTCATGTTGAAGTTGAGATTTTGCTTTAGTCATTTCGAAACTGATAGGTTTGCCTGATCAAACAAAATATTCATAATCCGAAAAAGAAAACAACTGATCAGGACTAATATAAGTTTCCAGATCCAATTTAATGTGTTCTAATGGAATGTCGACCTGGAATTTGATTTTGTGTAAAATCATGGCTTCGAGATAGTGAATTTTAGAAATATGAATATCAAATCCATCAATCAGGGCCCAGCTATATGAATTATAGTCTGTAATATATTTTGTAGCTATTATTATGCATGTAAGAAACAATTCTACAAACTCTTCAAAGTCTGGTTTGCTATTGTCAACCAATAATTTGATGTAAGCAGAGGCGTACACAAGAGGGACAAGTCCAAAGCTGCAAAACTTTTTTAAATACTGGCTTTTCTTTTTATCTACATTTCGATTAAATATGTATTTGTAAATTTTTTCCACTATTTTTAATTTTAAACTATTTCTATCTACATAATCTATACTTTGGTCAAAAACTGATTCTTCAATTCTTTGTTGTTTAAATACAGTAAAATGTCTTATTTTGTCCTGCTGGTTAGTATGGTATACTCGATCCTGAATAGATGTTCTTTTCATACTTGATTTATTTTGCAAGAAAATAAATTTAAAATAGCTGATTTCTGATCAGATTTGACGTTTGAGATGTAAAAATATTTCAAATCTTTTTCTAAACAACTAAGTGCCAATAATAGAAATTAAATGGAGAAAGGGTATTTCCAGGATGTTGCAGTATAATATTAATCAGTGACGAACAAAAAACATTCATTTGTTTATTACAATGATACAAAATCAAAATTGTGATGAGCTAGCTTATCATTGATTTTTCCATCAGTATGGATTCATAATTAATTATTGGTTACAAAAACATATGAAACATATAAATGACCTAAAACATTCAAAATAAATAAAAGAATCCTGTTTTTTGAATCATTATGACTTTTAATACCATTATTTATTATACATTTAACACATTTTTATAGTGCAGACATTAAAAATTGATTGTCTAATGATATTTTGCATGATATGCAAATATAGAGCAACTACTGGTTCAATACAACACAATGGATCTGAAAATTACATCCGCCTAGTGGTTATATGTCTTATTTCTCATTAGAAAATATATGATAGTACATTTCAAATCCTAGATGACACTAATAATGTAATGTGGTCCAAAAATATAATTTTTAATTCAGCAGAATAAAAACAGTCTTTAAAATTCAGTTCACAATAAAATACTTCTTTAATGAATAGTTTGTAGGAATTCATTCCTCTCGGGAGTGTTATCAAATATCATTTTGATAAACATTTTAAGCTCATATTTATCGAGTTTTATATTACCATCTTCATAGATCTTTCGGACTTCAGATATATTCGACCGAAGAATCTGCAAAACTGAGGTTACTTTATAATAATTTGATATCAAATCACAATCCTCTTCAAATGACAAGTCCAACAGATATTGAGCAACCTCTGCCAGTTTTACCTTCTCTTCTGACGTATATGTTTTAGCTCGAATTACAAAGCTGATAAAATTTCCATATAAATTACTGAAAAACTGTATAGTTACAAAATGAATCATTTTAGGACGTATAAACTTGTCTAGCATCTCAGAGAACTCAAAATGGATCTGCTTGACTTGAACTTTCAGCATAAGATTTGTTTGTGACAAATCCAAAGAAAACTTGGTTGATAAATCAATAACCTTTATAACCAGATCCTCCTTTTGCTGGGTAAGTATGTCCATTTTTGAAATGGCTATTTTCAATGCTAAAAAGTGGGTTAAGTCAGAGTATAAAATAAAGTTCTCCTCAGCTGAAGAATAGTTTGTTGTGAAAAATAGCAAAATGGAGGTTTCCAATGACTTCCTTGCCCTTTCCTTTCTTGTAGATTGGGCTTTTTCAAACATCTTAAGACATTTTTTAATTATAGAAAACGGCTTAGAAATATATCTACTTTCTTTACCACTGCCAGCATCAACAACTTTATCTGAAGAAATTCTTTCTCTGGTTTCTTTTTTCAACGTTTTCATAATAACGTCCATGAGATATTCTTCTGGATGAGGAATAGCATACTGACTATTCCTGAGTGTTTTATTGTTTTCTTCTATATCAACAATCCCAAGTTCATCCGTAACTACCCTATCAAATAAATGATTTTTTAGGAGATGAAGAATGGAGTCTGCAGTAATGCCGTAGGAGTTAATGATTTTATCGGCAGATGTGATACTTACAGAATTGTCAATATGAGGCAATTCAACTGATTCATTCCACTGCTTGTTTGTAAGTGGACAAAGAACGTAAATAAACTTTTCATCTTCTAGCCAAGCAGTCTCCATTGGAACAGACATTCCCAACTCAGCATCTACCCTATTCTTGAATTCGCTCCTTAATTCCAATCCAAATTCTCTTCTACCTGTACATTCCAAAACAGATTCAATGGTTTTATTTATTTTGATTACCCTGGAATAATCTTCTTCCACAACCCTCTTTATCTGATCAGATAACTGTTCTCTTTTGATCGTGTAAGAAATCAATAAATTACCAAGATAGCTTAGACACTTCTCAAAGCATAAACGATCGTCTTTAACTTTTTCTAAAATTGAATGGAGATCTTCAAAGGAACTACATTCATTCTGCTGAACTTCATATATCTCTATTTCTTGTTCAAGTTCTGCTCTCTTTCTTTCTAGCTCGAGAGTCTGATTCCTTACTGAAACAACATCAATCTCGGATAATTCCTGCTTCATCTTTTCGATTTCTGAGGCAAGCACTTCCAGTTCTTTTTTGTATTTGTCATAGCTAAGTGCCTGTTGTTCCAGACCCTCTATTTCTTTAAAGTATTCTTTAATTTCCTCCATGGGGTGGTAAAAAAATAATTGTTAATGGAGAAAAAATATTACTTGAGAGAAATAAAAATATTAGAATAAAAGAGTTGGGTACAGAGAGTAAGCCTCATTAAGTTAAGTAGATCGATACTCAACAGCATAGTTCTATCCGTAGGTGTAACTGCCCTACTATGGGTGCCTTTCAGCAACTCCCGA